GGAGGGGAGGGGAGGGTAGAGGGGTTCTAGGAGGGCGGGAGGCTGGGTGGAGAGGTAGATTGTGAGTCGACAATGTCCTTACGGATTGTGTCAATCTTGTTTTGGAAATGATTGGCAATCTCGTTGGCAGTGAGTGAGGTGCTGAGTGGAGGTGGGGGGGGAGACAGCAGGGATTTGAAAGTGAAGAAGAGCTGACGAGGACAGATGGAGAGGGTGTGGGTACAATGTTGAATGACCGTGTAATTGTGACAGTACTGAGAGCTGAAAATTGGCCTGGGTAGGAAGGGAGTAAAAGTGCCTAGTAGGCAAGTGGCTAAAAGAAGCACAGTACAATAGGCACTAATATATTTTCATGGGAGAATATATTGTTTTATTGGTCGGTTTAATGGTGTTGACCCAGCTAGGAGAGTGTTAATTGGCTCATTATGATCATTGTGTACTGTAGCAGGAATGTCAATAACCCGGTCATATGATGATATCCCAGAAAACTCACGTGTTTACATCAGGCTAATGTCCTGGCCTGTGTCTCAATTTCTGCTGGCGCCACTGGACAGGAAGTGTAAAATTTGCAAAATTAAGAAAGCTTGATGAGACACAAACTCTAGCTTCAGCATGCATAGTATTATAAATACTGTATTTAGTGGACTAAATATTTTATCCATGCAGTTTCATAGCATGTAAGAATTGTGTATCAAAGTTGCAGGTTGTGCCTTCTTTACTTATATTGTTTATATCATTACAGTATGACCATAAGGGCTTTTTAACACTGGCGGCTGTGGGGTGGTAAAAAAGAGGCGGCTGCCCACTAGAACGTGTAAACAACAGGGCTTAGAGGTTTCAATTTGGGGCATCTAAAATAATGGGATATGTCCAGGAATGTTAGTAATAGATCTTTCTTGGCCCAGAATATGGAAAGTCTTTTTGTTTGTATTTCTTTAGTCTAAAGTGACACTAAACGGATATCTTAATTCTCCAAAAATAATCCATAAAAATCCACTACTTCATGGCCTCAAAGTCTATTTTCCATTAAATTGTTTCTTACTGTGTGTGTTTCTACCTACTTGTAATGTCCTCTGTGAGCTCTTGAACCTCTCCATTTTCTCCCCTCACTTTCATTTTTTTGGAATGAGCAGTGTGTGTTAGTTACTGTCATGTGCACTGCTCTATGCACATTCCAAATCCCATAGTCCATAGTCCATCTTGGGGGCAAGCAATATATATAGGTTGGGACAATGGAAAATGCACATAGCCGCCCTTTAAAAGGAAGTCAGATTTTAATCTGACTTGCAGCAAAAAAAGTAATTTGGAGATTTGGAGGAGTCTGAGAGAAATAGAAGGTACTTTTTTGATTTAGGCATCATTCACACAGGGGATATACAGTACATCTGTGCCCAGTGTGAGGGCCAGTCGTGTACACCCGCATGGGAATGCGCAGGTGTTTCGCGCATCCCCGTGCAGACAGTCTCATAACTGTCAATTGTGATGCAGCAGCTGAACCAACACAGCCGCTGCTCCCAATGTGACATTCATGTGGGTGCATAGCCCCAAACACACCCTGGCTCTAGAACAGCCTTTCTCAACCAGAGTTTCTTAACTAAGGTTCCATGGAATCCTAGGGTTCCTTCAGAGGTTTATAGGGGTTCTCTGGTTAATGAACAATTTGTAGAGCAGCCTTTCTTAACCAGAATTCCATTGAATCCACAAGTTCCTCCAGAGGTTGCTAGGTGGTCTTTGGTCAATGAACAATTTCTAGAACAACTTTTCTCAACCAGGGTTCCATGGAATCCATAGGTTCCTTTGGAAGTTGCTAGGGGTACTTTGGTTAATGAGCAATTTCTAGAACAGCCTTTCTCATTCAGGGTTCCTTCAAAAGTTGCTAGGGGTTCTTTGGTCAGTGAGCAAATTCTACAACAGCCTTTCTCAACCAGGGACTCCTAGGGTTCCCCCTTAGGTTGCTGGGCTTATTTGCTCAATGAGCAATTTCTGCCTCTCAGACATGTAGCCATTGACACCAATGTCCCTTTCAGCTATCTTTGGGGGATATTCCTCCCACTCACCATCGATGTAAGGAGCATTCTTCTGACTGAAAACCACGTAAGTGTAGCATGAGCTGTAGATAGAGTCATTATTGGCAGGGGTTCCCTGAGACCTGAACATTATTTAGGTGTTCCTCCATGTTAAAAAGTTTGAGAAGGGCTACTCAAGAACAATAGAAACTCATGGAAATTTAGAACAATTTTAAGAAACAGACCATCCATGTCTTCTTTTTGTGTGGGGAAGTTCCTTAAAAATTATTTGGTTTTAATATAGTATTGATTGCACTGTTGAAGTAACATTTTTAGCACTGTGATTACTGTCTCATTAATGAAAACCGATTGAATTTGGTTGTTTTGGGCAACACACACATACACCCATATGATTCCATAGTATTTTCTGAACACCCCTGTAGTAAAACAGAACAGTATTCCACCAATGAAAGTCTGAAAACTAAGCACAGACAGATGTCCTCTTCTATCCCCTTTTCCTATGACACTGCCACCATGTTCTTTCGAGATTGTTTCCTCTTTTGCCAGCAGCAGTATCACTCCTTGGTAACAAAAATCCCACTTCCTGCTGTGTCTTTAGGGCCAATGAAACACAAATGGAAAAAAAACTGTCAGGGGTTTTTAACCATTCTTTATTTTATTCCTAGGTTTGACTTAGATAAGCTTTAATGAGAATATTTGGCTTTGCCCATTCAGGGCAAAGTATCAGGTTCTCTTGAAAGGCAACCCCTTACCTACTGATACTAACCTTTTCTCCTCTGTCTGCCAGAGCTATGGGTATTATCCTTGTGAAAACTCAGTGTCGGAGCTTACATAGGGCTAATTACTTTCTCCCCACCCCCACTTGACAGCATTCAGACCTGGCGACTGAATGCTTAGACCCCAGCATTGCATACTGGAAGTAAAGCCGGCCATAGATGGACTGAAATTCGGCAATTTCAGCAGGGACCCGCATTAATTTTATTCCATCTATGGCTGTTCCATTTCGAGAGGAGTCGATTGGCTCCTCTCAAATGCGACTTCTGGTAAATTTTTGTTTGATCAGTGGCTACCGCACTGATCAGTGTGTTCTAACAGCAGAGGAGTCCCACTGTCAGAACACAATAGCACAGCACGGAGGATTCCTCCATCAACCTCAATTGTGTGGATGGAAGAATCTGGTCACTTTTTTCATCAGCCAGCTGGCTGATTAAAAAAAAACAGAATAATTTATAGCCAGGTCAAATGTTTGCCACAATCAGAAGTTGCATATATTTTTGAGGGTTTTAGCAGTAGAGAGTTAGTGTGCTGAAGGGATAAGTGGATTCGTGGATGACCCGTAAAGAGACCCTGTCACTTTCCCTGAATAGGTAAAATGGCAAATTTTCTTATGCTGAGTTATGCTGGGATCATTGATGCATCATTATGGTGACTACCTACATCACTTTGACCCTCTGAGCCCATCCCTCCATCATCCCAGTGGTTCCAACAACAGGGTGCATGTACACAAACAGAAGATCTTGTCCCTGTCCATGTAAGTTAGCCGGAGTACAGCTTTTCACAATGAAGAAAGTTTCAACTATGAACAATGTAATTCTGTAAAATAGTTTATAAATACACAGGTAACTTCAGCTTCACCTTAAAGAAGTAGCATGCAATGACTGTGCCGGCCTGTCACCGATATGACCTTTGATTGGAAAATATATTATCACAGTATCTTTCCGAATAAAAGAGAAGTAGCTAATACTTTTTTTTCATGGAAAGTTTATTTTAAGTCATATAGTCAAACACATATTATGTCTCATATTACTGCAATGGCATGTTATTTGGATTCATAAAATTATGAGAATTTTCTTTTTTTTTTTACAAGCATGGGAACTGTTTTGACAATATGACTTACGTAAAGGGTATAGCACAAAGAGGAAGAGAGAGCAGGCCAATGCATGGCAGCTTTTGTTTTGAGGAAGGGGACTTAATTACATCATCTGTGTTCAGTTTGCAGAAATTCTGTTCTATATTGCTTTCTGTCTGAATAAACTGTAGAACAGGGAAGTGGAACAATTATCTCCTATTATATGACTTTGAGATAATATAACAAACTCAAATCAGCTTATTTTATAATTAAAGCAATGACACGTATTGGCAAGCTCAAACCATTAGAGCCTGAGTGTCTTAAACCTAAAAATTGTTTTATGTATATATATATATATATATACACACACATACAGTATACTGTATATATATATATCAGATTATATTAGAATAAATCAGAACGCTTTAGTGCAATTTACGTATCTTAAAGAAGATCGATCATGATATTTTTTTTAGTTCTGTCCCTTGTGAGACAAAGTGCATGTAATACTTTATACTATGTTGCTAAGTGCTTCCTAACCCTAGCTTTGACCTCTCCCCCCTATCAAGCTCAATCTGACAACAGCTAAGAAGGAGATGGCTGCTTCATCATGGCCCTGAGGCACTGATAGATTCTAAAACACCCCAGGCAAGCAACAGAAAAAGGAACGCAGAGGCTGACACATTCCCCCCTCCCTCAGTATTCCTCTTGCTGCTGTTTTTCTCAGGAAAAGTTCTCAGAGCCAAGACAAGCCACTGTTATGAAGCAGCCATTTCTTTCCTAGCTGTTTTTGGGTCGGCCTTGCTAAGAAAGAAAGGGGGGCAGTTTGGAACTCATAGCTAGGGTTGGGAAGAACCAAGCAACATAGGACAAAGTACTACATATACATTGTGCCCTAGGAGACAGAACAGTACTACAAAATTAATAGTAAGTCTTCTCTAAATAAGGCTGTAGTTTTATTCCCATATTATAAATGGGCCAGCTTTCAATGGTATTCTAAATGGAGCAGTGCTAAGCCCATTTCTTTTCAATATCTTTGTTAATAGTGGATGGGCTACCAGGCCATCTGATGATATAAAATTACGTAGCATTAATAAAATTAGGCAGGATAGTCAAATATTACAACAAGATATTTACTTAAACCGCATCCAGAAAAAAAGGAAAAAAAACCCTGCAAATTACCGTATATTTTTCGCTCCATAAGATGCACCTAACCATAAGACACACCTAGATTTTAGAGGAGGAAAACAAGAAAAAATATATTCTGAACCAATGGACTGCAGACATAGTACAGGAAATGACCAGAGACTGCAGATATAGTACAGAAGATGACCAGAGACTGCGGACATAGTACAGGAGATGATCAGAGACTGCGGACATAGTACAGGAGATGACCAGAGACTGCGGACACAGTACAGGAGATGACCAGAGACTGCGGACACAGTACAGGAGATGATCAGAGACTGCGGACATAGTACAGGAGATAACCAGTGACTGCGGACATAGTACAGGAGATGACCAGAGACTGCGGACACAGTACAGGAGATGACCAGAGACTGCGGACATAGTATAGGAGATGACCAGAGACTGTGGGCATAGTACAGGAGATGACCAGAGACTGCAGACATAGTATAGGAGATAACCAGAGACTGCAGACCTTTGGGGAGTTGTCCTTCCTGTAGGTTTGTGGGACACGTGACAGGTCCCAGAAGACTACAGGTGGCCATTCACAAAGCGCAGTGCTTCTCTCGCGCATGCGCAGTGGGCACCCGGCTGTGAAGCCGCAAGCTGTCACAGCTGGGTGCCCACACTAAAGATGCCAGTGTCGGGAGAGAAGACATTATGGCAGTTAAATGACAGATGAAATTTAATGATGATGATTGTGAAGTTATGCAATGAGGCCGTGCTAAGTGAGCCATCACCTGAACAACACATATAATACAGTTAGGTAAAGGGTACCTTGGAAGGACCTAGGAAACTAATAAACAGCAAGCTATACAGCTCCACTCAAATAGCAGCTGCCAATGCAAACAGCATCTTGGGTGTTTAAAAAAATTGTTGAAAACAAATTAATACAGAAGTATTATTTATATTGTAAGGCCTTAAAAAAAGTGGACTTGATTAGTTTTTTATAAAGACCTAACAGTTGGTTATCTAAATTGCGTAAATTGACAGCACTATATAAATACCTGTAATAAAATAAAAATAAATAAAAATAAATGTCAATGACAGCATTGGCCATAACTGCCAGTAGGTTTTTGCTTAAGTCTTTTATCCCTTGATAACATAACTTTATAAATGTGGTGCTAATTGAAGCGTATAAGTTTAATGCTGCCAATCATGTTTTTTTGTTGTTGTTTTGTCTTGATGAAATTCCACCTGAAATGACTATGCCCTATCAATCTCTTCTACCCATACCCTCCCATTCCTCATCCCCCCATCACCTATGGCCATTTCCCAGCTTCGGTACTACCTTGCATTTCTAAACTCCCAATTTGTGTTTTTGCAAACTCTGGCGGCCAACCAAGATTCTTTGCTATTGTGACACAATACCTTGGGCCCCCAGTTTACAACTGATGCTTGTTTTATGATTATACTGCTTATCCAATGTGTTTCCAATGTTTACTATCTTTATTTTTGCATATCCCTGTACTTTATACGTTTAAATTTCAGAATGTTAAATAATAAATAAATACATTGAAACAGATTTTCTACCTGAAACACGCAGACTTTGATTACTTCCACTTTATATTTTTTTCAAGGGTTAAAAAACGAATACAAATCCTGCAGTCATACCCCATGTCACAGTCCCATCATAAAAGAAGTTTTTTTCCCAAAAAGAAAGGAACCCAGATCTGCTTCATTTTATTAAGATCCAATGGTAACATTAAATATTTGGTAAAATCTAAGACTCATATTAATGAGTATTGTAACATTGTAGTCAGATTGATGAAAATAACATCTGATTGCTAGGAAGGTCCCTTTCTGCATCATCCATGGCGCGCTATGCTCATGCCTTCCTTCTACTTCTCTACCACAGATTTTGGAGTGGAAGCAGTGTCAATGTAGTTACAAGGCTAGGGATCACTGAAGCAGCACCATTGTAGAGCTATGTTTCATGGGATTTAGACATTCTGATGTTTTGTTTTATGCTAGCCATAGGGAGACCGGTTTTCTAAATCCACCCAAAAACCAATACATCAGTTATGGTTTCATATTGGTGCTTTGGACCTCTAGTATCTAAGACCCATTGGCATGCTCTCTTTGCTAGCAATAACAGTTCTGTAGGGAGTATTATTTCTGTTTTCTATAAGATTCCTCCAAGGATCTCCTGCCTGCCTGTCAAAATTAGATGTTGGCCACATTTACTAAAAGAGATAATCTTTTGACCGCTAGGAACAACAGCAACAGCCGCATCAGTAGGAGATTGGTGGGGAACGTCAACTATGAGGGATTCTAAATACAGACCAGGCATTAGTTTGGTCGGGTAAAGACCTTGAGCTACACAAGATAATTGAAGAATGGAAACAACATTAATAGTGGCTGAGACAGAAATAGATGACTATTTTTATGGGATCATCAAAAGAAAAAAAAACTACAAAGCATGGAGCAAAATATGGTCCCCCCAGGGAAAGTTGATAAAAATCAAATAATCTCACTAGAAATTACATTCAAAATCTGTTCTGTGGACTAAACCAAAAAGGCGGCACAAACTTAATAGCCAGCTTAAAACTCATTAAAAACTGTTAAACCTAGACTTATAATTAACTGTTATGTAATAGCTCTTACTGAGTGTCAGAAGAAGTTAAAGATACTCTGTTACAGGGGGGTAAGACATGAAGATGTATGAAGATGCATGGAGAAGCCTTCCAAACCTTTCTATCATGACCTTTCAGGTAGTGTTTCAGCTTGGCTCCAAGGGGTTGATTTACTAAAGACAAATAAACCGTTCTCTTTGCAAGGGAATTTTCACTTTGCAGTGGAATTTTCTCTTAGCTTAGTGAATGTGGTGATAATTCACTTTGTAAAGAATATCCAATTGGCAAGAAAAAGAAAAAAAAAAATGTATTTTTTGCTTGTACACGGGTGGATGATAAAAGTCAGCAGAGATTCACATCATTCACTAATCTAAGTGAGGCTCACAGACTTATTCTTTGCCATTGGAAGTCTGATATACCACCCACCGTCAGTGAATGGATTAAACAGATTGGTGATACCTTACAGCTGGAACGTATTTATTTACCAACAAATGGGTTGTCCAGCTAAGCTTGATAAAATCTGGTCGGCCAAGTTTAATACCCCTGGGCTATGCCCTATAGACTTGGCAGTCATCAGGCTAGGCATCCTGGGAGTATTACCCATGTATAAATCCTCTTATGCCTTGACACCCCATTTTCAAACTCCTTACATCTATGCACCAGAAGGTTACCCTGGAAGATGTATGGTTGCTTCCACTGATGGTCCTATATAACATAATTTTACATATGATCTGCACACCATAATTCTCTTTTGCTGTATAGTACACATTATATTGTTGGTTGTACTGGGATGGTTTATGGATGGTACCTATATGTATATTATTGTTTTTCATGTATGTTATTACGTGACTACGTTTTCTAATAAACATTTTTTCGGAATCAAAAAAGCTAAGTGAAAATTATCTTGCAAAGTTAACAACCTAAAGTATTTGCCTTTAATAAATCAACCCCTAAACCTCACCCCTACACATTTTTATTGGCTTATTAACATGATAGTGTCAGCACCTGTGGTAGTGAGCTCTTTTGATCCACAACTTGGGGTTCCCCAGGGCGTCGGGTCTAAGCCCCAGCCTGCTTGTTCACCAGGGCCCCTGATGGTGGGGATGGATTTGCAGCAGGCTGGGACCAGGTCGCGGCCCCAAGGTACACCCAGCTGAGGTAGAGGAGACTGGTAGCGGGAGCAGGGTACAATGGGAGAAAACACAGGGAATCCAGTAGGCAAGCCAAGGTCAGGACAGGTGGAAAACAAGCAAGGTCAGGAACGAAGCCGGGGTCGGTACACAGATAGCCAATATAGGATTCACAGTAGAAGCATGAGGGAGCTCCAACAACTAAGACGTTGCTCAGGCAAAGTGGGCTAGACTGAGCATGTCTTATATAGACAAGCAAACTAGGAGGCGGGCCAGGAAGTGATGGAAGGGAAGGAAATAAAACCCAGAGGATAGCAGACAACACCCACAGGTGAGCACAGACAAACACACATGTGAAGGAATCAGGAGCAGCAAGGAGGTAAGAATAAACATACAAGATGTCAGGGCTCCGGGTATGACCAGAGGTGTGTAGACTGACACAGGGAAACGCAGGCTTCAGATATAGTATAAACAATATAATTTATTTAAGACTAAACAATACATAAACGCAGTGCAAGACTAAACATAAACACAGTGCAAACAAATCAAACCAAAACCCCCAACAGATAACAAAAGAACAATACTAAGCATAGTCGGGCAGGCCGGGTCGGTAGCAAACGGGCAGGCAAGGTACAAAGGAGCAGGCAGAGCGTAGTCAGAGGGGCTGGGTCAGGAACAATCAGGCAGACAAGGTACAAAGGAGCAGACTGGAGAGTGGTCAGGAATAGCAGAGGTCAGGACAGGCGGAGTTCAATCAGAGTCAGGGATCAAGCAGGATCAGACAGAAAGCAGACAGGATGCAGGTACAGGGGCTCTTGGGAAACATACACCAAGGCCCAGATCACAGACTTGGTCATTCCTTATATGCACCTTCTGCAATCAGCCTCAGGTGTTTTGGCTGACTGCAGGAGTGAGCCTCTGGTTGCTGAGAGCACCCGCTGGCCAGTCCTGGTACTGTAACCCACAAGGCAGGTGAGTCCCACCACTATTGGCGAGTCCATTCCTGACACAAGAGGTGTAGGCTAACTTGTGACAGATAGGCTACAACAGGGAGGTTTGGGAGGCTGCTGTAGGTATGCACTCTTCATACCTGTTTCGCTTACCTCTCTTCTCCCAAGTGAGTGTCTTAAGAATACACGCCCTATTTTAAGATGATTTGTCCAAGTAACAATTTTTTTGTGATACTGGGGTCTTCCAGAGTTTTACTCTATATCATTATTTTCCAAGAATCCCAAGAAATAGTAAACGTTTTGTGTTTTCAAGAGTATAACCTGCTTGGGTTACTCACAGTTCATTTACTGGACAACATTTGCTGCACTGCACATAAGATCAGTTGATCAGCTGTTTTGGCAATACTTCTCTTGTGGGTCACAAGAGTGCACTTACCTTTGATCTCCTGTGACCCAGAGTGATCAGAGTGGTGCTCCAGGCTCTGAAAGAAACCTGACCCTATTGTCGTGATCCGCCCATGCTGATGGACAATTGGCTCCACTTCTCAGTGCATAGCTGAGAGCCAAAGCCAGCTGTGCTAACCCCCTTTCCAGCCTGGCTCTCCACTGACCACTAGAAAGGCAGAGCAGAGAGCAGTGACTGACAACCAGCGCTCTCTGCTCCAAGAAGACCGAGAACTGAGAGTTCAGCGGTTACACCAACACTGCAGCATAATGGTGATTATGTATGTTTGGTTTTTTTATAACCCTAAACTTCTCCTTAAAAGATCATGTGACTAATAGCTGCTTAAAGCCAGCCTTACTCAGATCAAAATTCAGCCATTTCAGCAAGGACCGACCAAATTTCAATCCATATATGGACAGGCTGGTTGGATCTATTGGCCAATTTCTGTTGAACCAGCCTGTTGGGTTTTTGTTGATCGATCAGTGTTGCTGGCTACAGCCAACAACACTGATCATTGTATTCTGACAGCAAGGAAAGCTCCCCACTGTCAAAAAACAATACCACAGTGGGAGTGATTCCCCCATCCACCTGGAATGTGTGGATTGGGGAATTGAGGCATTTTCTTTCATTCAACCCACTGGTTGAACAAAAAAAATGCAGA